GTTGTCGCGCGCGGCCGCCAGGCTCCCGGGGCCGCCAGGGGGCGGGAGAGCCCGGCCCGCCGCCTGGCGGAGGACCGGGCCGGAATAACCCTGCGGTCCCGTGGAGCGTGAAGTGGAACTTTCTTCCCCCGCCCCCTCCTCGGGAGAAAGCCAAGGCGGGAACGCCGGCTGCTGAAAGCTTCGGCAGGGGCGGGGACTGTGGGTTTCGGTGGATCTGCGTGCGGACCGGGACAGGGAGCTGCTGGGACAGGGCGAGGAGCGGCGGTTCCGGGAAGGGGCGGGGGGAGGGGGTCCAAAAGGGGCACCCAGCCCACCCTTTCTCGAGGCTTCTCGTTCCTCCCCAGCCCCCACAGTGGCGCTTCAAGGGGTGCAGTGAGAATGGCAGCGGGGTGAGGGACGTGAGGGTGGGCTTCCTCGGCCTGCTGTCCAGGAGTCTGACCTAGCCCACTTCCTCTGACCCTTTTCTCACCTTGGTTGTCGCCCTGAGGCTAAAAACGAGAGCCTGGGAGACCCAGGGCCTTGATTCCCCCCACCCTTCACCTCCTTCTGGAGCCAGGGAGTGGTTGGGGAAAGAAGGAGACCACTTGGAGAACAAACAGGTTGTCAGAGGCTTGAGTGGTTGGAGCCCAGGTTTCCCACCTGAGGGGCCAGGAATGATTAGGGAGGAGGAGGAAGCAGGAGGTAGGAAAGGGGGGAGGGGGCGGGGTTTTGTCCCCTGTCACCTGCTTTGGCTGAGCCTAGGGCGGGCCAGGGACCGGTATAAAGCGGCAGGTGCCTGTGACCGCCCCACCTCACACGCAGCGCGTTCGGGAGACTGCTCTGCCCCTCCCCACCCGGTTCACCACCACCATGACACCGGGCTTCCAGGCCCCTCTCTTCCTCCTGCTCCTGGTATCCCAACAGCTTACAGGTGAGGGGCACAAGGTGGAAAGGGGGCTGCCTTGCTCATGGCGTCTTCCCAGCCTTTCTGTGGGTTTTCTTTGCTAGCAGATGGTACCGCAAGGGGCAGAAGTTGTAGGCGGGAGCAACCCAGTCTGTGCCAGAAGAAAGGAGAGAGGCTAAGGACAGACGGAAGAGTCAGCCCCTGCAAAGAGCCGGCGCCAGGGACAGTACAATGACCTGGAGCGAAGTCTGGGGAGCAGGCGGGGAGTCAGAGGAGGTTAGGTTTTAGGAGTGGAGAAACGGACAGCTAGGAGCAGAGGAGTGTGGGGAGAGGGAGGCTGTCAGCCAGGAAGGAGGAGGAGGGTCTACCCAGGATTTGGTCCACTCTCCATATCTTCCTGTGCCATTACTGCTCAGGATGCCAGTCGATGTATTTCCTCCTCGTTCTGGTTTGTCCCCTAACCCAACCCCGTGACCTCAACTTCTTACAGCAG